GTCGCCTCCTCGCCTCGGGCCCGCGGCGGCTGAGCTCTCCCCGGACCCCGGGCCCTGCGCATCGGACGCCCCTGCGCGCGTCTCCCCGCGGCCACGCCAACTCAGAAGGTCCCCGCGGCGCTGCGGCACCCCGCCCGGGCCCCGGCTCCTGCCATTTTTGTCAACCTCCAACTTCCGAGCGAGCCGGGAGAAACTGAAAGGAAGGGCGGGGGCCGAAAGGCAGCGGGGAAAACACCCGCCTCCTCTCCCCGCGCGCTTCACCTCGGAGCGCGGCCGTGGGTGCGCCGCCGCCTGCTGGGGCCGCTGGAGGCTTTTCCTCTTCCCGTCCGCGCCTCGCCCCCGGGCTCGCCGCGCCTCGGCCGTAACCTCCCTGGAGCCTATAGAAATCTTTTGTGTGGCGTCACCGCCTTTCGTTTAAATCCCGCTTCCTCCTCTCGCCCTTCCTCCCGCCCCCACCGCCGCTCCCGGATGCTTGCGCGATGCGCTGCTCCTCCCCCGGGAAGCTGGGTGGCTGCGGGCGGACGCCGCCGCCCAACGCCGTCGCCGCCGGCGCCCGGCCCGGGGTCCCGATCCTCCTCGGCGGTCCCCGGCCCAGAGCGGGGGGCGCGGACGGGAGGGAGGCCTGCTCCGGGCCGGGGGCTCCGCGCACACCCTCGGGAGACTGGGGCGCAGCCGCCAGTTGGCCTTACGTAAGCTCTCAGCCAGACCGGGGGGCTCCACGCGTCCTTCCCGCCAAGGAAGCAAGTCTAAAAGGTGGCCAGTTCTCTGGACTGAAGGGCGGCGGACACTCCATACCATCCCCTAGTGATAAGCTGGGGTCCGACCATCGCGTTTTGCGGGACATGGAGCAGCTTTCCAAGCTCTCCCCCTACCCTTTGTTGTGTTTGATCCTCTTCTATGGTGGGATTCTGAGGAGGCTGTGCAGGGTAATGAAGGAGCACTGGATATGGAGTCCGAAGAGCGGGGCTGGATGCTCGCCGCTTCCTCCCTTTAACTAAATGCCCCTTACATAGAGCGCGGGCTTTGAACTAGACTTCCCGGCGTCAGTCTCTCCCCAGCCATTTCTGAGTTGTGTGACCTTGTGCAAGTTCTGTCTCGAAGTATCCGTTTTCTCATCTCGAAATCAGATACTGTGCACCGACTGAGGACTTGGCTCATAAATAGTAGCTGTTAGAATTATGAGCCTCGATCGTCACAGTTTGCCCTCTCGTAACTTCTGTGTCTTCGGCTCAATAATGGAATAATAGTGGCCACTGTTAAATGAAAGAAGCAGCCTTTGGAGGTAAGCATTGTTATACCCGTTTTACAGGTAAGGAAACTGATGCTCAGATGGCTTAAGGGCCTTTCTAAGGTCAGGAAGACAGCAGATGGCTGCGGAGGAGAGCACCTCCAGCCTCTTTTCCTTTTACCCAGATCTTATTCTTCAGGAAGTGGTTGAAGGTCCTGGGCTTCCTCCGCCTGAAGTGCCCCACCCCTTAGTCCTCAAACAGGCCCTGTAGGTGCCCAGCCAGACAAGCTGGGGATGTTTAGCGAACGGAAGTGTTTGTTTCTCTGTCCCTTCCTAGGAGCCAGGGTCACCTTTTTTCAGTTACTTATAACTAGGATGACCTTAGAACGTGTCGTCCAAACCAAAACAGTTTTGAGACATGCTGTTTGAACTGAGACATGCTATTAATAGATTAATCAGGAACGACAGATACACACCTAGATGGTCTCCCCACTTATAACTGAAAGCGTCCCTAGAGATCTTCTAGAATATAGACAAACCTACTTACTTTGTATACTGAGGCCAATAAAACTGACAGTTTTCTAAACAAGCAGCAATTCTGTAGGGTTAATCTATGTTACTTTTCTACGAGGGAAAAGCACTTGGATAAATCACGCTCTTTTTCTGGTAGCCCAGAAATAGCACCCTAGTCCTCCGTAGCTCCAGAAACTTATTATAAATGAGAAAGAAGTCAGACCCTTCCCCCTATGCCTGATGTATTCGCCAAACCGCTCTAGGACCAGCGATGCTAGGCGCACAAGTAATATGAGGGCGCTACACTTTCTGAAGGGTCGAGTCCAGAGACGGCAGCAGAGTCAAACGAGTCATCACAGTTTCACTATTGGTGTAGTGAGGGCACAGAGTAGACACACTACAGCAAAGATGACACTGCTCACCAAATAGTCCGATTGCAATCAGGCAGGGGCGTGTGATCAGTTCTGCCCAGTGAAATGTAAGTGGAAGTGATGTGCGGGGCTGAGGCAATAAAGAGCCAATCTGGGGGCCTGCCGGGTGGTGTAGTGGTTTAGTGCACGGGATCCGCTGTGGCGGCCCAGTGTTTGGATCCCTGGCGCGCACCTACGCTTGTCAGGCCATGCTGCCATGGCGTCCCATATAAAGTGGAGGAAGATGGGCACAGATGTTAGCCCAGAGCCAGTCTTCCTCAGCAGAAAGAGGATTGGTGAGAGATGTTAGCTCAGGGCTAATCTTCCTCACAAAACAAAATATAAATTAAAAAAAAAGAAGAGCCAATCTGTAATTCTCCACTCTTATCTAGCAGGAACAACCGAGGAGACTGCTAAGTGGTGCAGCTAAAACATGGCAGAGTCTCCATTAGCCTAGGTGACTGCGGAGCAGACCCTCCATTGACCTGTGTTGCACAGGTGACACGAGCCAGAAGTATACTCCATGCTAAGCCGTGAGATCTGAGGGTGGTTTGTTGCTATAGCATATTTTAGTCTAACTTGATTAATAGAGAAGGGCCGTTTGTGTCTGTCCCTAGAGTCCCTGGAGTGAGGGCTTTCTCTTTAGAAAACTCCACCTATTATCCCTTTAACCCTCTTTTAAAAATAAAATATGGTATGAACTAAGGTACTATGCAAAGTATTTTTCATTAAAATGGAAATTGAGTGAGAGAAGAAAGCTGAAAACATGTGGCCTGGGGGCTTGGCTGGGCAAGGTAAAGGGAGCAGACCAGCAAGTGCAGAAGATGGCATGGCCACTGGAGAATGTAGTCTCAGTGCCTGGCTCAAGGGCAACACCTAGTAGGCGTTTAGTAAATAAATGAATGAACAAGATGCAAATAGCAAGCCAACTGAGGGTTTGGGGAGGAAAGGTGGAATTGACCGAGGTTGGGGCAGTCAGGATTGGGGAAACATCCTTTCTGTCCTTCCTTGCCTTGTTCTAGAAGGTGCTTCCACCACCTGGACGTTAGGCAGGTATAAGACAACAGGATGAGCACTCTAGATTTTTTTTTATTGCGGTAAAATATTCATAATGTAAAATTGACCTTCTTAGCCATTTTTGTGAACTTAACCACAGTTCAGTGGTATTAAGTGCATTCACGTTGTTATGCAACCATCACCACCATCTAGCTCCAGAAATCTTGCATCTTCCCAAACTGAAGGTCTGTACCCATTAAACAACAACTCCTTATTCCCCGTTCCGCCAGCCCCTAGTAACCACCATTCTACTTTCTGTCTCTAAATTTGACTCCTCTAGGGACCTCATAAGTGGAATCATAAATAGTTGTCCCTGTGTGTCTGGCTTATTTCGCTTAGAATAATGTGTTCAAAGTTCATTGTTATCGTGGCAGGTATCAGAATTTCCTTCCCTTTTAAAGCTGAATAATATCCCATTGTATGCATACGAGGCAATGAAAAGCCAATCTGTAATTCTGTGAAGTTGTAATCTGTAAAGTTAGATACGCAACTTTCACACCGCACCCCAGACTTTATAGACCAATAACCAAGCTGTGTCTGGTCTACAGTGCCGCCTGGTGGTCAGTAAGGGGCATTCTTTGTCCTAATGTGTCTTTCCTTCTGCGCACTGTCTGTGCTTTCCGTTTGTGCTCACAGATGAGCCAAATCAATCTCAGGCGGTCTTGCTTACAAATAGCCAAACATCAGCCTTTATTATCTTCCTTTAATATCTCTTCTAAAGAAAAGAGATTTATATCTGGAAAATTTATCCCTACCCCTCATGTCCCCTGACTCACTCATGCCTCCCAGTGAAGGATGAGAGTCTGACATTGGTTGGGCCACAGTTCATAAGGGAGCAGGACCACTCTGTGACAGGCCACTCTCCTTACCCAGCGTGTCCTCTTGCTCTCTGGTGTGTTTTGTTCCCGGCAGGATTTCGACCATCATTCTCACATCCTCCCCATACCCACCTCCCACCCACCCTCCCTCCCTCCATGCTGTCTCTCTGTTCACCTGAGGCTGAGTGTGTGAGGGAGGCCTGTGGGCAGCAACAGTCATACCTTGGCAGGCACACCTGGGCATTCAGGTCCCAAGACCTAGGAGATCTGGAATCTTCTCCAATCTAGTTTATCAGAGAGCCCTACATGGAGATGAAGACTGCTTTCACAGATCAATTCTCTACCCCATTTCCCTACTGGCCCGTGATCTTGGGATGTATTTTCCGTGCTCCAGAATCCTGTGGGGGAAAAGAGGTAGGTGTTAAGATGCAGGCTCCTGGACTCCTGACGCCACGCACGCCTCACCAAGTTTTGACATCTCTCACGGTGCCCAGCACACACTCAGCCAATAACCACAGATTGACAGATTTATTGTTCCTTCAGAAGGAGCCTGCGTGGCCC